ACAAATATTTGCCAAAGAGAAATAATCCATTACTTTCTGTAATTTATGCAGTGATGGTTGTCTTCTCTATTGAGAAAGCAGAAATTAATGTAACGCTGAGAATTTCTATGCGTGGCTGGGGAAAGTGTTCCTGTTTTTCATTTGCCCAGAATGCCAGTTTGTGTAATATCTTCAGGCCCATCTTGTGCAGTTTAAGCAAGAGTTAGCACTGATCACTGCAGGTTTTTTGCTTCACATGGTTTCCAGCAGATTTTTGGTCTTGAAGTGAAGAAATGATTATTTAGGGAAATGAGCAGAGGGGCCATATGCTCATTTCTGAGTTCTCTGCATCAGGCACGCAATGTCCTTGAACTTAATGTAGCCTTTGTGCTTTAAGTGTACAGGCTTTAGTGGCAGCAGGAGAAGTTGAAAACATGTCTTTTGAGGGATTTATGTTCTTGGGTGGTAGGTATGCATTGCGAGCTGTGATGCTGAGAGCCAGGCTGTTTCTGGAACCTGAGCTTGGCTTTTTTTGTCTGCTGTGTCCAGCTGGCAGTGGTCTTGTGAAGACACATAAAAGGACCTGAAGTGCTCGTTTAGGTGCCGTGAACTGGACCTTCTGGCACTGTGGGGAGGCTGTACCTGAGGCAAGTGAGGCAGTTGGCATTGGATGAGCTGGGCACACTATAGGGTGAATTGGGTCAAATGCACTTGCCTGGTAGCCCAGGTTGAGTGCATTTAGCCTAGGAGGGAGTCAAAAACGAGCTTTGTTAATCCAGAAGAGTTCACTTTACCTCTCCAGTGTGGTGACCGAGCTCTCTCCATGAAAGCAAAGCTCATCAGCGGTGATTAGAACTGCTGCTTGTCAGCATGTGAAGAGAAGAGCTAAATTCATCACTCACACTGTCATGAGAAGCCTCAGAAAAAGTAATTAGTGGGTAAAATCATCTACTAATAGGCTCTCCCACCTTTAGCTGGAAGGAGGCTGACAAGCAATTCCTGTGCGTGCCGTAGCTTCATCAAGCTCACGTTTTGTGATTGCTGGAGATGACTCCATCGGTGGCATTTCTGGTGATGGGGGGTGGGTCTCTGAAGGGACCCTGGTTCTCTGTTTGCAGGTGCAAAAGAGCATGAGAAGACTCATATTACTTCCCATGGCCTCTGCGAGGATGCAGAGATTTTTTTGTTCTTCCAGTGACGGCGAATTTTCTTTTGGCCGATGAAACTATGACTTGTGTTGGTGCAGGCTAAATGCAGTGTGAGGGGAAAATACAGAGTTGTCTCCTTTGCCTGCAATTATCTTTTTATGTTGCTTGAAAATAAATGCATTGTTTTGCAAAGAAAACTATTGTTAATAATATATCACATGTAAATTATGATTATACTTGGCAATTATTTCTTGAGCAAGCTTTCTTCCCCAATATTATAACATGTAACTTTGTTTTAAATGAAGGTCAGAGATAGTAGTAACAAACAAAATGTGGATTTTGTGAGTTTGGCTGCTCTTTTAGAATCCCTCTACTTGAGGACTTCAATAAACACAGCTGTCCCGAAACATATCCTGCCTGAAATTTATCTCTGTGTTCTGCATCCCTGGATACATCTGTCTCTTGCTATGGGTGGAGGTTTTACTGAAATCAATCCTATTCCTAATATAACACTACATTTTATATATATATATATATATATATAAAATCTATATTTATATATAGATTCTAAATGTATCAGTTCTTCATGTTAAAGAAAGCACATATTTATTTAGAATGCATATGGAAATACACTGCATACTTCAATATTGTACCTCCCCTTGTCCACCAATGGAAAAAGGCATCTGAAAAAAGAGTGTGATGTTAACTTGAAGCCATTAAGTTTCCTTAGGGCTGATTTCTAAAGGAAGCATATCTCTCTCTATATATGTAGATAGATATCTATTATATATACGTATACATTCATGTGTGTATAAATATATATATATATATACACACACATAAATGTACTCTATTTTCTTATTGCAGAATAATTTTTCGAATGCCTTTTTTCTATGTCTGTCTGTATTTCTTTTGTTATTACTGATTCTTTACATTATAGTAGCACCCAAGGCTTGCAAGTTGCCTGTGTGCCTGGCATGGGGCACACAATACACAGGCACAAACTGATCCAGAAAGCATCCTGTATAAACAGACCAGTTGAAGACTGGAGGGATTGAGGGGAAAAAAGAGGTGAAATAAGTCCAGAACTGGGGATCCCAGCTGGCGGGATCTTCAGTTGCACTGATGAGAAGTTCCAAAGGGCAAAAATAGTGATAGCAGAGACAAGGGAAAAAAAAAAAAAAAAAAAAAAAAAAAAAAAAAAAAAAAAAAAAAAAAAAAAAAAAAAAAAAAAGGAGGGCGTAATATATGGTTAGGACACAAGCAGCTGCAAATCTGTCCCATTTTAGTCTGAAATGGCAGTTGTACCGTAAGGGGATGTGGGGTGATGAAACCCTCCTTCTCCGGGCATGTGGTATTTAGTGCTATGGAGGTCACCTCATGGACCTAACATGGCATTGAGCAAACCCTGCAGTTCCCAGTTAAATTGCCACAAGACTGCGAATTGTGTGCTAAAAACATTGTGAAAACTGAGACACATCAGTTTGTGAGGAGATACAAAGACTGAGAGGGACAGTGTGATGAATTTCTGAGGAAACTCACATTTGCATTGCTAGCTTGAAGATAAGCGCAGTAGCTGGTTATTGCCTTCAGCTTCGTTGTAACATCCATGTTAATTATGAAATTCAATAGTGCAGTATACCAAAACGATGAAATCTGATAAGCAAACCTATAGTAAACCTGCATTTTATAATCATTCCATTCTGTGTTTGGAGACCAGGGCAGTATGCTAAAGGTTTCTGGTGCAGGTGTTGGGATGCTGCTGCTTTGGTCACTTGACCCTCTGAAAACCCTTTTCTGAGATTGCTCAAGGCAAACTGATCTGCAAGAATTTTGCAAGTTATATCTTTCTTTGTCAGGAGTATTTTCCTTTTGTTTCGGTCCTAGCTAATTTTGCCAAATTGAGCTAACTGCTTAAGAAATATGAGAAAATAAGGCCCCCATCAGACTCTCTCAAGCAAATTACAGCAAAACAAATTTATTTTTAGCTGATGCTTCTCCCTGTTATTTGGATGAATTTAATAAGTAATTAGTTATGAGCCATTTAACTGCATAACAAAATATGTTTTACTTTTCCATCCTAATTTATTGCTTTGTTCTTCTAATTTTTTATTATTTATAGCCTAAATCAATGCGTTGTATAATTGCTGTAGGAACATTACATGATAGTTAAGTCATTGCCCAAATGTGTTAAGCATGATGGCAGAGGACAGCACCTACACAGTGACGGTTCAGTCGGTAAAATTATCCTTAAAGCCCTGATTGGCCCCCCAAAATATATGTTCACAGAAGTCACAGTAGAGGTTTTGTAAATGTGACCTTAGCATATGTTTAGTTCTCCCTCAGACGTGTTCCCTGCTGAGAAAAGATGATGGTTGTTACTTTAGTGGATCCACATTACGTGTGTTCAGTTTGCAAGTGTGAAGAGGCTATGGCTGGGGGATGGAAATAACGTTTCCTTGCTGCAGTATTCTGACATTTTCTTTCGAGCAGAAGTTGCAGAAATAATGGATGTTGAGTGTTAGCAGCACTCAACTCAGTACAGTTTTCCTGGAGTCACTGCCTAGTTAAAGAAGAGACAAGTTTATTTAGTAGATCTTTCTGATTAGGAGCATGATAACTACTGTAGATTGCCCATTTTTCATCCATTGGTTATAGAAACAGGACTAAGGTCAGTGAGCAGTCTTAGGTTGTGCTTGGTGAATCTTGCTTCTCCATTTTTCTTGTGGACCAGTTAATGAGGAGCCAAGGCCAGGTATCTGGGGCAAAGATTGGTGCAGTTAGAGAGTGTCTATAGGTAGTAGATTTTTTAGTATGCACCTGAACTCCAGAGGTGGGGTTTCTGCAACCCACTTCATCATCATTTGTTTTAAAAAATGGGCTTTCTCCAGTAGTAAGTGGCCCTGGCCATAGTCGTCAGAAAAAAATGGGAGAGCTGTGAGATACAACCCCATGAGGCAATAAGCACCTTCTACAGTCCCCTGCAGAAATAGTAAGCTCAAATCTATGCACTTACTTTTGAACTATCTCTTCACTATTTTTCCTAGCCTTTATGAAGGAAAACAAATCTATTTTAGAAATAACAAATCTCTGATGACACTATAATATAATTGAACATTAATTTAATGCATTCTTAAGTCTAGTTTCAGCAACATTCGTGTAGTTGAAGGATTTCCAAGTACCATTTGTTAATATTGCTGCATAATTATTTCAGTCTCTGCTACTTAGCTGGAGACCATAATTCAAGCTTGAGGGGTTGGATATTAAATGGAAGCAAAGTTTGCAGCTTGGCTTTACAAGGGCAACATAGACACGGTGCAGGGGAGTACTGTGGGCTCTTGTGTGTGATTCAGCTTGTCCTTTACTGCTGACAAGAATAAAAAGAAGTTCATGAACACATTTCCTTCACTAGAATGAAAAAAAATTGGTGTTACACCGTGTCCATACTGTGTACTTGTGCTGGTTCTGAGCCCTCTTTTGTGAGCTTAGAAATTGGTGTATGGACTTCAGTGACAGATCATAACCATTAGATCTACTGAGAGAACCATCATATCTGTGGGGATGGATGAATGTTCTGCTTTTAATATCAATCTTCCAGAGTAGGATTTTTTCATACTGAGTTGTTTTTCTCAATGCACTTAAAACCAGCTTAGAGATCACTCATACTTCTGCTCTTCTTTTGTTCTATTTTTATGCACTTTAGAAACAGAACATGCCATACATTCAAAAAATAATGAGTAGGTGTATTTCTACTTTAATTATTAGGAATGGTTAAGTTTTGAAGCAGAAGAGCAGTCTTGCTGTTTCTCAGTACTTCATTTTGAGCTGCAGAGCTAACTGCCTTTATTTATTTTCTTTCTTTTTCCTATGCAGAATTATGGCTTGGAAACAGAAAATCTAAAAACCCTTTCTCACAAATTGAATGCATCTGCCAAAAATCTGCAGAACTTCATAACTGGGAGGAGGAGGAGTGGTCATTATGATGGACGGACGAGCCGCAAATTGCCAAATGACTTTCTGACATCAGTAGTAGATCTGATTGGAGCAGCAAAAAGTCTACTGGCTTGGTTGGACAGGTAAAATCTCCCAATAGTGTCACAGGTAACCAGTTCATGCACATGCACAAGACTCAGACTGTTTGCAAAATGTTATGTAGGCATTGAGATGTAAGCAGAATCCATTGACGAATTTTGAGGGAAAATTTCTAGCAATTTTTTTTGTCTGCCAGCACTGAATTCAGACAACATACAGTACAGTATTTTTAGATGCTCTGCAACCCTACACATGATCTGGGAAAACTATGCCAACAGGATGACATTGTTAAAGTACATATGTGCTTTTTATTAATATTGAACAACACTTTGATCAACACAACTCAGATTCATTGCTCTGATACGATCAAACTTACAAAACTGTGACTGTGCTTTTCGTTACACTGATACTAATATATACTTCCACTGTATATGTGTGTGAAGACATGTGTTGCAGTTCAGATTTATTAAATTGTAATGAAGTATCTCTTAAGCTATAGATTCATCTGGAATTTCTGCCTGTATTACCTAGCAAATGTGTTTAACTGTGACTTTACTTTTCTCCTTTACTATATGAGTGTTGAGCTTCTCTAATGAGAGCTATAGTAATATTCAGGTATTTAGAATGATCACTGAAACTCAAATGGTTAAATATATCTATCTTTATCTTTATAAAATGCATCATCATAGCACATTTTTATCAGTAAATCTAAATTGCTCATCCTGATTTGAATGTTTACCATTTTTTATTTTATATGCAGCAGTTAAAAATTGAGTTCAGAGCGTGAATTCTGTGTAATTGTTAGAATCTAACAACAGACTTCTTTTATTGCTTATTGACTTATTGCTTTGGATTTCACTTTGTTTCATTTTCATGAGGAAAATTGGTTTCTATTCCATAAATGATCTCCATGTGAAAAGTTTAGGTGAGGCACAAATCTTTTCCATTTCTTAAGCTGAACTGTAAACTGCTTTTTGTTCAATGGACTGCAGCTGCCACTGCTGAGTACTCTGTCCTCTCTCTTTCTAGCCTTCCCTTAGTGTCAAAACCCAAACATCTAAAGTTATTGTCTAAAATCTCTTGTTTAGATACTTAAAATAGATGTGCAGAGGATCAATGCAGTCTCGTGGAAGGAGCTTGATACTGAAACTTGAAAAGCTGGGAATGTATTTTCAGCTCTGCCCATAGCCTTGTCCTGTAATTTGTTTTTGGCAGAAAGCAGCTGGCTTTTCCAACAGAAGGAGTAATAAAAAAGCATCTCCTTCTGCATAGGCAGATCAATGTTTTGCCACTTCTTTCCATTTAGAAATAAGCTTAGATGATTTCTCATCTGACTTATGGATAATGAATATAGACTCTTAAAGCTGAGTATTAGTATGAGATTTTCTTTACATAGAGTCTGATATTAAAAAGTAACCTTTCATGGATACATGTGTTTAGCACATTGAAAAATAAAGAGTTTTTTGTGTCTTAATATAAAAAATTACAGACAAGCTTCAGAATGAAAATGATTATTGATGTTAGGAATCACTTACATGTCGTTTTTTACCAGTACTGACATGTGTTCTTCCAGAGAATTGTTGAATTGATGTTATCTGTCTACTGACACTTTTATTTTCCAAATGATAATATTGGATTATAGTAGAAATACATGACCTTCTCACATTTTTCCTCTGATAATTATTATTTCTCAAATAATTATATAATGAAATCAGAATTGAATAGAAATGTTTGCTTCTAAGCACTGATATGTCATTGTGGTTTTGCAAATTGGGCCCAAACTATGTAGTTTTAGAATTAAAACCCAAGTCCAACCTGGAAAATGTATTTGTAACTCAAAATTACCAATTTTGAGAATTACCAATTAGTAAAATTATATTTATAAAGACAGGTGTACTATGTCTGTCAGAGATAATCAGATGGCAGACTTTAATGCTGGTGGGGGAAGATCTCTTAAAATCTTTTTAAAAAAACATTTATATCAGTTCTATTCTCAGGAAAATGCATGATTTTTGCCTTTATCTGAAATGACGTCTGATCAGCCCGAGGGTTTCCAAGGAGTTGAATATGAGAGTAGCCAAAGTGGGAGTCTGCTTTTAACAATGTTGTCTTTGTTGACCAAACAAGGCTTCCTGGAAGCAATATTTTAATTTCATTTATATTTCTGAGAGCATTCTTCTGAAGATATGTGACAATATGTGGTTATTTTAAGACTTTTCTGGTTCATGAGGTGTTTTTAAGTTTTTTAGTTTTGTTTTAGATTTTTTTTTTTGATAGGTTTATTGTTTTCCCTTTGTGAAGCCCCCAGATTGGGACGATGGCACACTCATGACTGTATTTTTCTCTGAAAGTGGGAACATCTGGAGATCAATGCGATACTGCTTACTGTATGCCTTCCTAGCAGCTATTAGAACCGCTAGGGGGAGATAGAAAGGCTTTAAAGTGTCAGATTGAAAACCGTGAAAATGGATTTCATTTTATTCTACAGAGGTTTTAGGATTAAAATTAGACCCAGATCTTTTTTTTTTTTTTTTTTTTTTGGTTCCTAACATCAGTTCCATTTTAGGCCATGATGGAAGGGAGACAAAATCATTAGGAGCAATAATATGGCTAGTAGGGTTATCCACCCTGTGGCAACATTGACAATAGGATACTCCTGTAAAATACTTTCACATCACATCTGGAAAAAAGTAGATGCAGTAACTCCAACTTGCTTAAACTGCAATGATATATTTTTTTTTTAATGTAAAGGTGATGACTCCGTACAGCTTGTTCTTCCCTTGCTTTTCTAGTGAGCTTTCTTTTTCTGATGTTTCCATGGATGCGTAGGCCTCATATATGAGTCCTATGAGGACCTCACTAGGCCAGGCCTAGTTATAGAAGAGTGTGAGAGCTGTGATTCGCTGGGTAGTTGCCATTGCAGCTCTGGGAATTACATTGTGCAGGGTGGATAAAAGGATACATTCTTTATTCTGCCTCGAATAGTCTTACTTCTAGATGTATGTCAGAGCATGACTTTTCAGTGAAAATTAGGGTAGCTTTTATTGCCATATTTTAAAAGTCTTCTGATTTAATATAATTTATGAACTGGAAATTTTATTAGAGATTTATAGGTATTTTCTTAATAGTCTGATTGAAGATTTTTAGGAGGATGAAAGAGCTCCTCAATGAAGATGTCTTGTCTTTCACAGGGCTGATGTACTCCACCATGGAGGTGAAAGTTTAGGGGGTGTATCAATGCTCAAAACTAACTTTTTCTATGGTTAAGATACGACCAGCTTTTTTTGTACTCTATTTGCATCTCCTTCCTTTCCTACCAACTTGCTACTGCACAGCTAGATTTAAGAGGCAGAAATCGTTACTTCAGCTATAACCAGGAGGAATTGTCATGCTCCTTGTGGAAGAGGAGTGATCCCAAGAGAACCTGAGTAGGAATGACACTTGGTGACAGCTGTGTGAGCCTTGTCTCTTCCCATGTTGTCTCATTCCTTTGCCAGAATTGCTGCTTGCAAGACCCAGCTGTTCGTCTCCTGTGTTGCCCTTTGTCTGCTTCAGTCTAATTGCCCTCCTCCACTGCATTGGTGTCTCAGGAATCTCCTTCACTGATCCAGGAACCAATGTAGGGCTTGCTGGACATGAAGTGAGGGCTGAGCAAGGAAACTTTACCAGATGGTTGTGCTTCTGGACAACCTGCTTCTGCCCACTCGGTGGAGCCAGAATCTTCCTCGCTTAAATGTTGTGCAGCCACGGAAAGAATGTTCTTGGCTCTTTGCAGCTAGCAGAGATACCCATGTAAGCTATAAATAGGTATTTGGAGACAAGCGTTTGGAAAGGGCTGGCTGTTCCTAGGTCTTTAATGGTGTCCTCATAAAAGATGGTTCCAAGATAAAGATGCAACTTATTTTTCAATTAAAAACTTATGAAAATGTAATCAACATTCCATGAGATGACTACTATAACATTTTATGTCTGTTTTTGTGTCACAGATTTTGATGGTTGTGGATTAGGATTTATCAGGGAGAAATGGATTTTTTTGATGTGCTGTTTGATTTGGCCATCTGTATGCACAGTGATTCAGTGCATCTTTCATAACAGCTCTCCTGAGCCCTGTTTTTTACCCTAAGATTACCCCCATTTTTGAAGTAAAAGACTTAAACTGATGCTACAGATTACAGTGAAGTCTTAGAGTAATAGGAACAAAGAGATCTTGTGGAGACAGATTTTTTTATTCCATTTTTTTTCAATGCTGTGCCAGAGAAGAATTATCAGGATGACAAATAAATACCAGTCTGATTAATTTACTTCTGCTATCTAGAGTCTTATATGTGAACAAAATGGAACAAAAAGACAGCAAGTGTTGGCAATATAAAAGGTATGGGTCAAATTACTAACAGTAGTAACATAGCATAAAAATTAAGAGTAATAGACCTTTCTGCAAATCTAGATCAACTTTCAGGGAGTCACAAGATTTTAGATCTTCACCAAACAATGTGATGTAAACCTTTAACTTTGAACTCTAGGTGAGTAAGTCCTTTTAATGTTCAGCAAAGGACTTACATATACACTTAAATTCTATTCATTGAGGCCCAGTTCTGTGCCTAAAGTTGGGGATTTTGGTGGGTAGCTTTGGACAGCAGAAGGGGAGCTCTGAGCCATACTGTGGGCGTAGTGAACTTGCTCTGTGGTCCTCGAGGAACATGTTGGAGAAGTGCAGCTTGTGATGGTAGAAACACTTACGTTCATCTATGTGAACCATTCATGTACTCAGCCTCAGGACACTGAAGCTTAAATGTGCTTTCTACAAAAGTACTGTGCTGGCAAAGCATATTTCCCCCTAGAAAATGGGTCTCCGTCTTTCCACCATGGTGATGTACACAATGCACACATTTTCTTATGCTATAGATAAGTGTGCTCAGTAGGATTTCTTTGTCTCTTTGTTTTCAGTGAATGAGCTTTGGTATCTATTGTGTGACTGTTTTGTAGTTGTATGGAAAGGGGAGCATTCACTTGGATAATTTTATGCTCCGGTGTTTGCGAGCCCATA